TCTGAAAAAAAATTGAAAATTTATTTCACACATAATTCGTTAAATGTATGTAATGTGTAAATATGTATGTATGTGAATAAATTTAAATTATCCATTTCATATAGTTAGTTATTTACATAAGCTCTTTAAATTTGTGAATGCAATTAAGTAAAGAGATGAACATTTTTAATACACAAGTAAAGAGATGAAATTTTTTGTACATTTTCGTACAAAACCTTGAATTTAGTAGAAAAAAATTACACGTTGTTAAAATCTCATTGTTAAAAAAATGTTTAGTGTATAAATATATGTTCAGTGCATTTCTGTTATGCATCTCCAACATACCCGCATAAGCCATTCTTAAAATCTGAGCTCTTTTCACAATCAATATGACTCGAATCAGTTGCATCAATTATTGTATGTTAAATCGAATACAATTTTTAGACACATTTTTCGGAAGAAGGATCAACTGATTTAATTGGTTTAAAAACCATTCAAGCCCATTGATGCATTTAAATCCGGTTTATCGGTTATTTTGTTGTTATTTGCTCATTTCTAAATTGCTGAATTGTTTACTTCAATATGAGAAAAATTGCATACTGTATTAATAATAGTCAAATTATATACACGAGAGTAAACTTCAAATTTTGCTCAAGACTTATTTGCATCAGTTTTTTACCTTTCAAATTTTAGAAATAGACAAAAAAAATTGTAATATATTGAATAATCGATTTGAACTTATAGTTCAGAACTTTCAATTGAAAGTTTTTCAATTGAAATCAAAATTGAAATATTTTCAAAATAGAAATTTTAAATTATTAAAATCGATCAACAAAAATGCATACATTCGGGATCTTCAGGAATACTATTTAAAATAACCATAGTTTTGCAAAAATAATAATTAAAATAATACGAAATTTTATAACTTAGATTATTTTATTATCTTCTATATATATAAAAATATGTCGGGTTTTCCTTCCTGACGAAATAACTCCAAAACGCACGAACCGATTTCGACAATTTTGTTGGAAAGGTCTCGGGCTCCGCAAGGTTTATAGCTAAGAAAATTAGTGGTGCATGGCATCGTGCCCTAATGCAAATTGCTGGAACTTCACACACCGTAATTAAAAATTCGAGTAATGATATTAGTGAGAATTATCAGAATTATGCTTGGTTAAGGAGGTATTCTACTGTAGAAGCATGAATTTCGCCCGGTTTTTGAAGCGAAACAAATAATATTTTTACTATCGATTTTTTTATCATTTGTTTATTGATATTTTATTATTACATAAAAAAATATTAAAAAAAAAAATCAAAATTCCCAAAGTTATGAGCAGTCAAAGTGGGGGCTCAAAAAAAAGAGGGTGTCCTGGCGTGTATGATTCCAACCCTGCTGGTAATCCGAAACATAAAAAATAGATGGATTCTTAATTATTATAGATGCCGCTATCGTAGGACCCTTGGATAAGTTAAACAAAAATTTTTGTTTGAATGGCGGCAGTTTGAAAAAAAATATTTTTTTTTTCATGTTTTTTTTTTAACAATTCCAAATTTTTTAAAAATACTAAATGAAAAGTTATAGTTTTGGCCAAGGTCTATGCGATAAAGCGATATATAGAGAAGATCCTCTCCAAATTTGAAGTAAATCGGTTCATTAAAACTCGAGATATCCTTACCGCCAACTCGAAAAAAGTAGTTCCGAGAAAAAAGCGTTCAAAGTTTTGAGACTCGTTCGGACCCGAACCGAGATCACGTCACTAAAACGGATATAACTCAGGAAATAATAGTAATTTTGAAAAATCCTTTGAATGACATATTTTTGAATAACTAAACTTTGAAAATATGAAAAAAAAATTTTCGATTTTTTCAAAATTCTACAGTAGAATATCCCCTTAAGTCAACGAGCATTTCTTGCCGCCAAGAAATATGGTGTAAACGCACTGAATTTCACCGTTCTATCAAAAATTGCTGGCGATTTGGTGACATACCAATGATTGTGACTGGTCTTTCCGGTCAAACGATTGCAATTTCCAGTTCGCCGTGCGTTCGCAATAACAAGTCGCAAGGCCAATCGCTTAGTGTTTGCGGGATAAATTTCAAATAATTATTTAGAAAATCATTGTTTTTTATATGGGCAGTTATACGTTGCCTGTTCACGAGTTGGAAAACCATCCGCTTTGTTTGTGTTGACGTCAGACCAAAAAACAAAAAATGTGGTTTACCAAAGAGCACTTCAATGAAACGGATAATTTGCGGATTCACTTTCTTTTACTTAGAGAAGTTCAACTAAAAAACACTTCATTTTTGCAATCGAAATAAATTCATTACTGTTGTATAATAAAATCAAATTTTTCCTTTTCAAATATAAAACAAACAAAAAATTTCTTCATCTTTCTCACGAAACCATCTGGTGGCGAAACGGAGTTCGTCGGGTTTGCTAGTTATTTATAAATAATGGTATAATCGAGCAACAAAGAAACTAGCTGTAAGTGGAATTCTGTCTTAAGGCAATTAAGGCATCGTGCCTTAAGGCAAATTCCCGTACCAAAAATTATTATTTTTTTAAAAACGATTGACATTTTTAAAAAAATTTACTTCGAAAAAATAAGATTTTTGAAAAACTATAAATTGGACAAAAAATTACTTTTTTTTGAAAAAAAATTTTTTTTTTTTTTTAAATTTAATTTTTTTTTTTTTTTTTGAAAAAAATAATGTTTTCTTTATTTTGGCATATTTTGGAAGATCTGAACTTTTTTTCAAAGCGGCGTACTGCTTTAATTGCATAGAGACAAAATGTCAAAGCGCGTAAGCGCCGCGTCGCCGTCTAACGAATAAACATTGGTACGGAACCCATAGGAATGCAAACAAAATTTATACTTATTGTTAAAATCTCTATAAAATATCTGATAATTTGATGTGCATATGTCTAATGATCATTTTTGACCGCCAAATGGCATTTTTTTTTACTTTTTTCGTTAGATCTCAGAAACCGCTAGACCTGCCCTCATGAAAATTTGATCAATTCTTCATCTTGTCAATACAAGTCAAATGATTTTTGAATTATTAAAATCGGACGCTCCGTTCTCTTAAAAACTGAGTTACCATTTTCGGCACTTTTTGCCCCGTATCTTTGGAACGGCTCGACCTGCCTTCGCCAAAAACTAATCAGCACGTCTCCTTATCAATACGAATCGAATGCTTTTTGAATTATTCAAATCGGTTGATCCGTGTTCCCGAAATCGTCGACGAAAATTTGTGTCCGCACATACATACACACACGTACATACATACACACACACACATACATCCATTTTTTCTAAGGTATGCCAAAATGTTCAGAAACCTCTGAAACGTAAAAACATATAAAAATTTTCATTTTCGATTTTTTTGCGATTACTATAACTTGCCCTACGGGAAGTTAAAAAAAGATTATTAATTTAAAATACTATCCCATTCGCATAACTAGACAAGTAAACTTTTTTTTTTACAAAATACCGCCAGTCTGAATATTTTTTTTTTACTTTTTTATATTCTCGAAATTTTTAAAAACAGTATAAATCGGAAAGAAACAAGTAAATCAAGCTCAAACAAAATATTTTAGGTTTTAAAAAATCCGCCAAAGTTTATAGACGCTTTAAATGAGTTTCAGTTCAAAGTTTATGAATGCGATCTAGCTTTAACCGATTTCCACGTTTTTTTTTTTACTTACTCCATTTGGTTCTTCAATATAACTATTGAATATTAATATATTCAACAGTTTTACTCCAATGAAAATGAACAAAACATTTTACCTTAATTTTTCAAAGCAAAATATTCAGTTGTTTCGTACCTAGACAATATTAGAATACGATGTATTCATATGATGATTTCGTAACTGTCATACATTCGATATCCATCACGCTGGCACGCTCTTTCCTCAAAATGATGAAAAAAATAGTATGTATATTATTATCATTTGTATATACTTGATAGCGCTGATATACTTGATGACTTTAAATTCAGTCTCTGCATGAGGAGAACTAACTAGACTACTTATACTGGCCTGTTTCAAGATTTTACTGTCATTTGTGCTCACAATGGCAACTGAATAATCATTGATTCTAAAAATACTTTTAGGTGACTTTACTACATTCAACTCCTCTGGTACCACTTTAAAAGTTACTTTTGCAAGCTTTATAAAGTTTTGTATCTTTTGGCAATTGCATTCTTATGACCAATTGTAACACGCATTATAAAAAATAATTTAGCGGCATAGAGCTTCCGGCGGTTGTAGATCTTGATTTTTGAATCTTATGATATTTGCTCCAACCTGTTTTAATACATTCCTATCGGAACCGGTTAAATAGCCGTTTTTGAACTTTCGATTAGTATTTTTCATATCAAAAGAAATTGAATCGTCTTCAAACTTCATGCCTTTTCCTCATATGTAAGTATAATACATTTTTCAATATTTTTTTTGTTTTTTCCAATTTTTATTTTTAGAAAAAAATGTGTACACTGTTCAACCTACTGCAAACGGTCATTTGACCGGTAGTTCTGAAGACGATCTTAGGACGGCATTTTTGTAGTAAATGTTATGAATATAATCGGACTTATAAGTCTGAAAATGTAAATGCAAAGGCATTTTGAAGGTTGAAACTGAAAATTTATATGCATTTTTTTCAATTCTGTATGCAAATACTAAAATTCTTTTGCCTCACACAAATAAAGCAAATATTTGGTATTGTGGTCATAAGACTTTTTTTTGTCAAGTGCAACAAAATATGTCTTCTTAACATATTTTAAAACTTAGTTCTAAAATAAATTTTCATTTTATTTTATTCAACATTTTAATTTAATATTTAATTGACCTGAGTTTTATCAAAAACGATCATTTTTGTAAAGAAATTAAAAAAAGTAAATACAACAACGTCTTACATTACTTTCAGTATTTGATGTCAATTTTCAATTTCGAGTTCTATATGTACCTGTGGTAATTTTCAAAATGCTAAGATAATTGCTGGAACAATTTTTGCTGATTATTTTTCTTGCTGTATTGAATAAATGTGGTATGTAATTTCTACATAGATGAAATAACCAAGAACTACTATAAACTTTCTTAGATCTTCAATTTGCCTGAAATAAAATTGTAATTTCTTAAACTGGAAAAGAATATTCACAAAATCATAAATGTAATAATTTAAATATACTAACCTGTTGCCAAATGCACAATTATTGTAATTGCTTGATGGATTTATTAATTTTTAAATTTTATGTGCAATTTTTTATGAGATTTTGATAAAATATGAGCAAATGAAAGACTGTATTAATAAGAACTTATTTGTTTTACATAATTATACAATCTTTCATATACATTTTTATTAGATTTATATGCGCTAGATTCATATACCTAAATCTTCATCAATTAAAAATTGTTTCACACTACGACAATATTTTTCTGGCAACTCTTTATATAACTCTGTACGGTCCAACCATTTAGAAGATTTAACTTTATCATCAGCTAGAGATCCTTTCAAATATATTGCATTAAAAAAGAACACCTACAAAATATAAATATTATACTATTTTTAAACATAATCTTTTTATAATATCAGATGAAATAAATAATTGTAAACACTTTCAGCACTAAATATAATTAAAACTCATTGTCAAATAGACTAGACAAGAAAATGTTTTTCAGTGATCTAAATCAGGTTATTCTATATTTATTCATAATAATCATACTATTACTTTATATTTGACTATATATTTTTACCTTAACTCCAATAGCATCTTTCTGAGCATCCTGAGGATACTTATATTTATAAAAACCACATGGTGCATTACCTAAAATTCTATATTTAATATTACTACCACAGGCTTCTTTCAAAACTCTTTCCGCTGTCTAAAAACAAGTTAGTTCAAAATTATTAAATTTTCATATTATGCAACATATTCAGCAATTGTATTGATCTTACTTGCTTCATCGTTTCTCCCTCTGTTCTAATGCCTTGAGGCATCAAAAAATAATCTTTGGCTCCAAGTTTTTGCTTAACTAACAAAACTAAAGAAGAGGCTAATTTGCGATCAGTAGAAGTCAAATCATTTTTTTTATCGGCTTCTGCAAATTAATATTTATATGAAAACATGTAGTTCATTTTAACTTTTAACTAGTTTTAACTAGTTTAAAAATAAGTCATTCCTTCCAACAACACTACTGAAACTGGTAGAAAAGAATTTATCTAAAACTTAAGTACATTTTAAAACTTTTCAGAGTAGTTTCTCAACAAACATCAATTTACTTATTGTTAGTTTACAGAGTAAAAATAAAATTGTACAAATTATTATATACACAATTTTATCTAAACAAAATTCTTAGTGTTCTAATTAGAAGTAGCTTCCAAATCAAACCTGATAGAATTTAAATTTTAATTTGTTCCTGATTCTAATTAAATTAAACAAATTTTGAATGGCCCAAAGTATGCATCAAATTGGTTAATACATAAAGACATCGACATGAAGATTTTGTACTTTTAAATCCTACCATTTTATTTGTTAAACAGATGTAAAAATTACTACATAATAAAAAAAAGTTATAAGCTCTGTTCAGATCTTTCGTGTAGCTTGTATAAAACATAGCAATTAAGAAAATAATTTTACATCATCCATAATAAAACAATTAATTAAGAAATTAATTTTTCATATACACATTTTTAAAAACAAAATATACACAAATACTTACGTTCAAAAACTTACGATTATTACTACTAATAAATTTAACATTTAATTAATAAGCAAACCAATTAATAATTTAGAAATAACTAACCTGATACTCTTGGTGCTAATTTAAATTTACTGAGTTCTTCAACACAGGCATCTTTAAAATCTTGAGCTGTCTGCGATGATACTGCATCTAAATCAATATCGCTAGTATCACCCTTTTTCAACAATTCTGCTTGTTTCCTTAATAAATAAAGTAATATAAATAATAGATTTATGTTTCATGACAATGATAACTATTAATAGGACTCCACTCTTGAAAAAACTATATCTTATCTATTGAGTATCATAAGATAAAGATCTTTGAAATTCTTTTCCTTATTATATTATTATAAAATAACATACACCATCTCTTTCCCAAATTAACTATGGTCTTTCTGCACAAAGGTAAATTGTATATTACTAAATCTTTGTTGTTTCATTCTTAAAACATTGACTTTTGCAATTATCTAAAGTTTTGTTCATAACTTTCTCAATATATAGGAACAATACTTAATTAATAATTAAGATAAGATGGTATATATTGATAAAATGATTCACTGGCCTTATTTAAAAATTTGGTAATTCTAATAAAGTTCCAACGATTTTATAATATGAAGAAAGCTATAAAAATAATCCTGTCAGATGTCGAGCGTCATTGTCACAGTCTTGCCGGAGTAATCAGTACTAACGAGTTTCGCCCTTTCAAAAGTTTATTTTGAGGGTGCTTTTCATATGCTTTTTGGAGCCTTATTTACTGTTATTTGAAATTATTTCAATAAAATTCAACAAACTCATGCCTGTGCTAGTGATTTTGATCAATTTTATTGCAATAATAATTATTGCATATAAGGTTTTTTAATGGAATTTTTATAATATATTCATTTTTATGCACTTACGAACAAAATGACAAACAATGAACAACATGACATAGTTTCATAAACACTACATTGTAGTTCATTCAAGACCAAGAAAAAAAAATAGAAACCTGTCAAAGGCAACAGGTTACTTCCACTCCAACTACTTCTATAAACAGATCAAAAGATGCAGAGGTAAACAGAAGAGACTTGCATTTATTGCAAAGACCTCTTTTCCATTATGAACCCAACCAAGGTTGGAACTCGAAGAGGACTAAACGATTAATATATTTAAAACTAGCTGATCCGGCAAATGTTGTTTTGCTAAGTAAGGTATTTTCTAGATGAATAACTAATAATGAAAATAATATCTAGAGAATCAAAAAATCAATACTCTAAGTGTGTAATAATGAGGTGTTATAAGAACAATAAACCCCATTAGTTTGTCTATATTTTGTCAATACAATCAAACTGGAAGTTTTATACACTTTCTATAGAAAACATGGCATGATCCAATCCAAGTCTTTTTTGGTCTTTCGACTTATATAATCATTACAAATTCCATTCAATTGAATATTGATTATGTTTTAAGTTTTTCGGATTCTTTTTGAATTCTGGATATTGTGTATAATTATAATAATACTACTGAGCTTAGTCAAACATTTCAAATTTCTGCAAAGAAAGATAGAGAATGTATTTCTTCTTTGACCAGCTTTTTGAAAAATTTCAAGTAACATTCCATGAATTAAAGTAAACTTAATAAAAAGTATATATGTAGAGCAGGGCGGGGCACCAAGGTCTAATTTGACTTTGACATAAATTTCATAAATTATATTATGAACACCAAACCAATTATATCCCAACAAATAACACATTTCAAACAAACAATTATCTGACTACATTCAGTAAAACTGCCAGCTTCATTATTGTAGAAATGTGCTTCTTTTGCTGTATTTCAATCTAGATCATTTTACCCTATAGGCGAGGTAACTTGGAACGGCCAGGTGGCAAATTAGTTTAATGTCTTATTTTAATTTTAAAGGTATTTTACAAAATAATTACATTTTTAACTAATGCCAAAAAACTACCAACAGAAGAAAAGACTTTTAATATGGATTTTCAGATGCCAAAAACATTTGACATTTAAATTACGCTTCAACAAAAATGTTCAAATTTAAATAAATAATACCTCACCTTTTCCACAACCTACTGATTAGCACGAATTTTTCAAGACTAAGACTGGCCAAATCCATACAGCCATTTTAACGTTTTACCATCCCTAACATTTAGTCGAGCTCCACTATTATATATAAGAAGATTAGTATCTCAGCATATCCTTTACTTATGTCATTTTGTCCATATGATGTGAACAAAATGGTTTCATGCAATTAGATGATTTTTTTTAATAAATTCGTTATTATAGTTCCTACTCAATAAAAAAGAACATGCTACTGGTAGTCGAATCTAAGACAACAAAATCATTGATACTGATTATAATACCATTGAATAAATATATATCGATTGAACAAAACACCATGTCATTTTGTCCGTACTTTGCCTGTAACTATGTTGAAACATAGTTGAAACATAATATGTATATTAACAGTTATAAAAACAAGTTCATGTTATGCTTATATTCAAAGGATATATATATATATATATATATATATATTATTATTTAATGTGCGTACTTGTCATTTTCACGCCTGATTTCGAAATCTGATTTAAGACTGTTCTCAAATTCAACAGTAGAGAGATATTCTTGAAACTTGTTCTCTAAAGGGCCAAGCTCTCTTGTTACTATTGGAAGCCTTTCTAAGCAAATCGCACTTGCTAAATCCCAACGCAGTTTATTTTCAACTTGTGTACTAAATTCTAGAAAAGTCATGTATAAATTTATGAACCTTACTACTCAAATTATAACCTATAAGTTGCACAATACCTGTAATGAAAAGCTTGGTGCTTGTTTTAAAAATAAAAGGAGATAGTTTCAACATTATGTTACACTTAACTTCAAAAGTCAGATACAAGTTTTATTGAATATCTAGCATTATTTGAATGTATAAGCATATATTAATACTGTATTTTCTCTTGAATTATATATTTCAGAATTCAGACTTTTATTGGAACTGTCAATTTTAATTTAATACTTCACTCTATCGGCGATTTACGATACTAAGTCCAGACTGTTTGATTTAAAAGTGTGAATTTGAAATCAAAAACTTTAAATTTAACTGGTGGAGAAATGCAAATTGCTAGTACTTCCCGGACCCCAAATATACATTCAAGAAATAATATTAATAACTAATAAAAATTATTCAACAATTAATAACAATTGTTTCAAATATTTAAAATAGATTATTAAATACTGTAATAAATATTTATTATATATGCATATGCTTATTAAATGAAGTTTCTAAAATATGATTTTTTTAGAAATATTGAAATATTTTTAAATATTTGAACATTTTTGAAAAATAAGGATATTTTTTATTATTTGAAATTTTGGAAATTTCTGAAAATATCGATTTTGATTTTAGAAAGTGTATGGAAATAATTATGTATATAAAAATATAAATTCCATTTGTATACAAAATGTATACAATTTATTGATTATAAAATTTCATGATATAAAAATGACAATTGTCACTTAACAAATGACTTAACAAATGACTTAAGTCATTTTATTTTTTGTTTCTGTCTCAATTGCCAGCTTGATCCCCATAAATGTATATGTATATAAAAGTCGAATGATTCGTATGAGTCGCGTATGAAGTCTAATTATTGAGTTAAGTCGTATAAATGAAGTCTGAAAAAATCCATTTTGATTTTGATATTTTTGAAAATTTCGAAACATTCTAAAATTGTTGGGAAAAAATCGATTTTAAAAAATGTATATACATATATATATTTAAAAGACGAATGATTCGTATGAGTGGCGCATGTATGAGTGGCGTATGAGCGCATTAATGTCGTATAAATGAAGTCTGAAAAAAAATCGATTTTGACTTTTATATTTTTGAAAATTTCGAAACATGATTTTTTGAAAAAAAAAAAACGATTTTAAAAAAATGTATATATACTTGAAAGTCGAATAATTCGTATGAGTCGTATTAAGTCAAGTCGTTAGAAATGAAGTCGGATGATTCGGGTTGTGTGTTGTATTAGCTTTTGGTCGTATAAATCGAACGATTCGCATGAAAATCTACGAATACGGTTTATTTTAATTTGGATCAGAAGTCAGATGGCACAGATAAATTATAGTTTTTTTTAAATCTATTATATTAATAATTTTATATTTTAATATATCAAAATAAAAATATATATATTTATTAAAATATATTTTTATACATATATCAGACAGACAAATTGGCTGGTATAAAAAATCAGGGTAGTTATTTTTTTTATACGAGTTGATTCGAATCAAGTAAAATCTGATCTAGTTGTTAAGAACTTGATTCAAATAATTTGAATCACTTTATTCGACTTGGAACATATCACTATTAACTACTTTTATATAAAAAACAATGAATAACCATATATTTTGAGAAAAATATATATATTAAAAAATTTAGGCACTAAAAATAACTTCTAAATCATCTATAAGAAATTTTTCAAAATTTAGCATAGTAATCAAAATTAAGCATTTCAAAAAATGCA